GCGGGGTGTGTCTTGTCGGGGATATTCTTGTGGGTTTATCATCAAGACGGTAGCACCCTGGGTTTCCCTGGGTAATTTGTTTTCCAGTTAGATAGTTCCCCAGGTGGATTGTATACAGGGTAGATTTTCTCTCAGGTTGATAGTCTCCTTGGTACTCTCCCTGTAAGATCCGGGGTAGAATTCGCCAGGGTAGATAGTCTCCCGGGTAGATTGTCTCCCGGGTAGTGTTCCCTCGGTAGATAGTGTCATAGGAAGATAGTATCCCGGCTAGATTGTCTCTAGGATAGAACGTCTCTTGGGTAGATAGTGTCATAGGAAGATAGTCTCCCGGGTAGATTGTCTCTAGGATAGAGTGTCTCCTGGGTAGATAGTGTCATAGGAAGATAGATAGTATCCCGGCTAGATTGTCTCTAGGATAGAGCGTCTCTTGGGTAGATAGTGTCATAGGAAGATAGTCTCCCGGGTAGATTGTCTCTAGGATAGAGTGTCTCCTGGGTAGATAGTGTCATAGGAAGATAGTCTCCCGGGTAGATTGCCTCTAGGATAGAGCGTTTCCTGGGTAGATAGTGTCATAGGAAGATAGTCTCCTGGGGTAGATTGTCTCTAGGATAGAGCGTCTCCTGGGTAGATAGTGTCATAGGAAGATAGTATCCCGGGTAGATTGTCTCTAGGATAGAGCGTCTGCTGGGTAGATAGTGTCATAGGAAGATAGTCTCCCGGGTAGAGTGTTCCCTCGGTAGATAGTATCACAGAAAGATATCCTGGATATAATGTCTCCAGGATAGAGCGTCTAGAGCGTCCAGGGTAGAGCGTCTCATTGGTAGATGTTATCACAGGAAGATAGTCTCTCGTGTAGAGTGTCTTCCGGGTAGATACGCCTCTATATTTACAGAAGAATCCTTCAAGGAATTATGTGCCCTTGTATTAGAGGCGAACCATATGGGGATTGATCTTTGCAACAATCAAAATTTGACATCTGCTTAATTACGCTTACGCTTACGTGAAACATGACGTTTTCTTAGAACCAGACGCATTCGACGTTACAGCCTCGATGACGATTGCCACGGCTTTTCAAATTCCAAATTTAATTCTTAAATTGACACACGACGAGAATCTTCCCACGTACTTAAACGTGATCGAAAGGAAGGGTTTATTTAGTTGAGATGATTTTTACGCCGATTTTAGCAATATTCCAGCAATATCACGGCAGGAGACACCAGAAATAGGCTTCACATATTGTACGAATGTGGGGAATCGAACCCGGGCCTTCGGCGTGACGAGCCATCGCTTTAACCACTGGAATACCTCACCGCCCCCTGGTTTTATTCAGACAGCGGTCTCTAGGATTTCGAGCTTAGTCATCCATGTTGAAATGAAAAGTATGTAGTATTTCCAATATGCATGAATAACAAAGGGATCCAATATACTTTTGTTGGTTTTTACATCACCACAGTTGCCAGGGACGCCGCTATCGAGGTAAACACAACAAACTTTCAGTCTAGTCTGTTCTTGATGGGCGGTCCAGTCTATTGGGAAATAGGGAGAACCGACCAATTACGTTATTTTATGAAATATAACCCAATCGACTGATAACGAATGGAATACCAAAATATTGGATTTCTACATGTGTTAGGTGGTTTAATAGACATTGAAAACATATTAGGTTTGTGTATTGCGGATGAGTAAAATTATTCATTTTCAGTATTACCTTCCATGTTTGAACTTAAACTCGTCTAAAAGATGACTTAAAACGGCTCCGCGCGGGCTTAAGCTTACGGTACAGGTCGATCTGGTGATAGCTGCAGAGGTAGGTACAGGGTATTTGTGGGGGGACGATAGCTGCTGAGGTAGGTACAGGGTATTTGTGTGGGGGTGACTGAGGGGTGAAGTGTGTTTTGTCACACGTAGAATACCTATGGCAACATAGTTTTGGAGATTTTACTTTTTATGTGATAATCTTGTAATACTTGAAAGACGTTGAAACTTCATCGGTGTACATTTAAAAGAAATTATTTTGATATATTAATATTATAGACACTATAGAACATCTTCTGAATCTAGTGAGATGACGGGACGGTGGGATAGCCGAGGGGTAACACCATCCGCTCATCACGCTTAAGACCCGGGTTCGATAACCCACATGGGTACAATGTGTGAAGCCCATTTCTGGAGCCCCCGCCGTGATATTGCGGCGAGAAACTGAACTCACCGTTGAGAGACACAATGCCCACCTCTCCCTGCTCCCGATGCTTCATTGTGAGAGAGGGGCGGTGGGGTAGCCTAGTGGTTAAAGCGTTGGCTCGTCACGCCGAAGACCCGGGTCTGATTCCCCACCTTGGCACAGTGTGTGAAGTCCATGTCTGTGTCCCCTGCCGTAATATTGCTGGAATATTGCTAAAAGTGGCGTAAAACTAAACTCACTTACTCATTCATTGAGAGAGGGCTACACCATATCTGATGGTGGCTGAAACTGGGACAGATATCAATCAGTATTCATTAAGTGCTTCATATGATTAGGATAGTGGGTTTTTGGGCCTTAGGTTGGAACTGTTTTCATTCTGGTAGCGTTTGTCTTTTGGTCGAATCCATTTATCAAATGTACAGATGGCATTCATTTGCCCTGCAGATTAGATCTCCACCACTTACCCCAGCTTTTACAGTCTCCAGTAGACGTGGTGTTGTCCACTACCACCAGGTTCTCCAGTCTCCAGTAGACGTGGTGTTGTCCTTTAACCCTATCTACAGCCTTCAGTAGTCTCCAGTATACGTGGTGTTGTCCACTAACTCTAGGTTCTACAGTCTTCGGTAGACGTGGTGTTGTCCACTAACTCTAGGTTTTACAGTCTCCAGTAGACGTGGTGTTGTCCTTTAACCCTAGGTTTTACAGCCTTCAGTAGTCTCCAGTAGACGTGGTGTTGTCCACTACCCATAGGGTTCTACAGTCTATCCAGTAGACGTGATGTTGTCAACTAACTTTAGGTTCTAGAGTCTCAAACAGACGTGGTGTTGTCCTGTACCCTTAGGGTCCTACAGTCTCCAGTAGACGTGGTGTTGTCAACTACCCCTAGGTTCTACAGTCTCCAGTAGGCGTGGTGTTGTCCACTATCCCTAGGTTCCACAGTCTTCAGTAGGCGTAGTGTTGTCCACTACCACCAGGTTCTACAGTCTCCAGTAGGCGTTGCGTTGTCCACTCATCCCCAGGTTCTCTACAGTCTCAGTAGGCGTGGCGTTGTCCACTACCACCAGGTTCTACAGTCTTCAGTAGGCGTAGTGTTGTCCACTACCACCAGGTTCTACAGTCTCCAGTAGGCGTAGTGTTGTCCCTCTACCACCAGGTTCTACAGTCTCAAGTAGACGTGGCGTTGTCCTCCACCACCAGGTTTCTACAGTCTCAAGTAGACGTGGCGTTGTCCCTACCCACCCCTAGAGTTCTACAGTCTCAAGTGGGCAGACGTGGCATTGTCCACTACCCCCAGGTTCTACAGTCTCCAGTAGACGTGGTGCTGTCCACTTCCCCTAGGTTCTACATTCTCTAGATTCCTGCTCCAGTGTGCATTTCTTTCCCAAATTTGAAACATAGATTACATTTCAGATTCCCAAGCAACAGGAACAATGAAGTTTACCTTGATTGCCATCCTTGCTCCCTCTCGCTTTACGTTGTTAATACCATGGCTGCGACAACAACAACAGCTGCAGCAAGTAAGTCATCTTGATCTATGTTTCTCTTGGTTATTAGGGCTTTTGGAGGACTAAACTCAGGAACCCGTCAAGATCCGGGTTACAATTGTTCTTCAGTATCCCATGCTTGTCGTAAGAGGCGACTAACCGGATCGGGTAGTCAGGCTCGCTGACTTGGTTGACACATGTCTTCGAATCACAATTGCGTATATCGATGCTCATGATGTTGATCACTGGATTGTCTGGTCCAGAATCGATTACATACCGCAGCCATATAGCTGGAATATTGCTGATTGCGGCGTAAAACTAAACTCACTGACTGACTCATGATCACTCACTCACTCACTCACTCACTGAATCGGCAGATGTCAAACATCACGCTGTTCGCTAGCTCAGTCTTCATAGGTGAGACTTTGAATCCTGATTAATAAATTCCGGTGAGTGAGTGAATTTAGTTCTACACCTCTTCTAGCAATATTCCAGCAACTTCACGACGGCGGACACCAGAAATTGGGTTTACACATTGTACCCAAGTGGGGAATCGAACCCTGGTCTTCGGCGTGACGAGCGAACGCTGTAACTACTAGGCTACTCCACCACCCCGGTAAACAGAGAAGTGTCCCGTAAAAATACACTACTGAAAAGAACAATCGATTTGTTGTTGTTTTTCTATTTTCACTGAGGACCATCAAACAATCTTTTCATATTCTTTAATTATGCACACACAGGTTCTGATTCAGACAAATATGGATACAACACCGACAACAATTATTGAGCATGTTTCCGGAACATCCTTTCAAGTAAATCCATACCTGTACTAAAAGCAGCATAAATCTAAACTCACTCACACTGTTTCCAATATGTAGTTGTCATTTATAATTGTTAAGGGGCGGTATGTAGCCTAGTGATTAACGCGTTCGCTCGTCACGCCGAAGACCCAGGTTCGATTCCCCACATGGGGGCGCGGTGGGCGAACTGGCTAAAGCGCCAGGCTAGTGATCCAGCGAGCTTGAGGTGACGGGATCGAGCCCACCTGTGACCGGGTGTAAAAACCTTGGAGTCAACTTTGTGTGCAGACTCCTTCAGTGTTGTCACAACCCCTAGTGTACAGTACACAACCCTGTGCACTTATAAGAACCCACGAATCCGTTGGTTTATGACCAGATGGTGGCCACATGAATACGTGCAAACACCCAGTTGCGGGTGATATTGCTGGAGTATTTCTAAAAGCGGAGTAAAACTAAACTCACTCACATATCATTGTTACCGATTGTTCTCAAACTTAAATAACGTTGGCTTAACGACCTGCTCTCATCATTCAGCAACAACGGCCGCTGCAACGACAGCCGCTGGGGGGACGACCGTTGCTGCGACGGGGACGGGTTCTACAGTTGCTACGACCACCGCCGGAAACGTAAGACTTCCATAAGTTTTGCAACACATTTCTGTTCTGACATGTGAGATTTACAGTTGACGTTGTCGCCAATACATTACTGTACTATACAGACAACTACTGTTTACTTCAAGACTACTATACAGACACTTAAAGTTTACTTCAAGGCTACTATACAGACAACTACTGCTCCCTTCAAGACTACTATACAGACAACTACTGTTTACTGCAATACCACCAATATACAGACAACTACTGTTTACTGCAATACTACTATACAGACAACTACTGTTTACTTCAAGACTACTATACAGACAACTACTGTTTACTTCAAGACTACTATACAGACAACTACTGTTTACTTCAAGACTTCTATACAGACAACTACTGTTTACTTCAAGACTACTATACAGACAACTACTGTTTACTTCAAGACTACTATACAGACAACTACTGTTTACTTCAGGACTTCTATACAGACAACTACTGTTTACTTCAAGACTACTATAAAGACAACTACTGTTTTACTTCAGGACTACTATACAGACAACTACTGTTTCCTTCAAGACTACTATGCAGACAATTACTGTTTTACTTCAAGACTACTATACAGACAGCTACTGTCTACTTCTAAGACTACTATACAGACAACTACTGTTTACTTCAAGACTACTATACAGACAACTACTGTTTACTTCAAGACTACTATACAGACAACTACTGTTTTACTTCAAAACTACTATACAGACAACTACTGTTTTACTTCAAGGCTACTATACAGACAACTACTGTTTACTTCAAGACTAATATACAGACCACTAAAGTTTACTTCAAGACTACTATACAGACACTTAAAGTTTACTTCAAGACTACTATACAGACATCTACTGTTTACTTCAAGACTACTATACACACAACTACTGTTTACTTCAAGACTACTATACAGACAGCTACTGTCTACTTCTAAGACTACTATACAGACAACTAAAGTTTACTTCAGGACTACTTTACAGACAACTAAAGTCTACTTCAAGACTACTATACAGACAACTACTGTTCCCTTCAAGACTACTATACAGACAACTACTGTTCCCTTCTAAGACAACTATACAGACAACTACTGTTTACTTCAAGACTAATATACAGACAACTACTGTTCCTTCAAGACTACTAAACAGACTACTACTGTTCCCTTCCAAGACTACTATACAGACAACTACTGTTTACTTCAAGACTACTATACAGACAACTACTGTTTTACTTCAAGACTACTATACAGACACTTAAAGTTTACTTCAAGACTGCTATACAGACATCTACTGTTTACTTCAAGACTACTATACAGACAACTACTGTTCCCTTCAAGACTACTATACAGACAACTACTGTTTACTTCAAGACTACTATACAGACAACTTCTGTTTACTCACAAACACTTCCATACAGACAACCACTGTTTTTTCCAACACAGTACTATACAGACAACTAGTGTTTACTTCAAGACTCCTATACAGACAACTACTGTTTTGTCCAACACACTACTATACAGACAACTAGTATTTACTCCAACACACTACTATACACACAACTACTGTTTTGTCCAAGAAACTACAAGAAAAGCCTTGTCTAGCAGTAACACTAATAGCCGAGACAACGTTGTGCGGTGGATGTTGAGACTATCACTACACATGTTGGGTATCTTTGCCTCGCCGATAAACTGACTTACTTCTTCTGATTAAAGTATTCACCCACTTACTCACAAACCATTTTTCTTCTTGTAGACTGGCGCCACCAACGTCTTCACTCCCATGATGTACGTCGTCGCCGTCTACAGCGGGAGGCTGGCACTGAGCCTGGTCCTGTAGATCTCTATGATAAAGTGGATACAGACATGGACTTCAAATGTACGAGTTATCTTAGCTTCAAATGAACACTCGGCAGCTCTCGGATCTTTCCGTGATCATCGTGTCGTGCCTTGGAATTATCCGAAATGACGAACAGTCAAAACATCACAACGCATGGCGGAAAACCCAGTTTCGAAATGTTGAATATTGACATTTTGAGTAATTTCAAAATATGTGCCATTTTATTAAGAGAAATACCCAAAATTATAAATTCATTTTTACATATCAGTCAACAGACGTATACGACCATCACTCAAGTTTCCATGTTTCCTTGATAACACCGTTCAGTGTATCAGCTGGCAAACCACAATTTCTTCCTGGTCGTCCATTATGTCCGCATCCATTTTTATTCCACGAGTTCAGCGTGTCCATTTTATTCCTAGATTGTTTTGTTATCTGTCAGTTATTTATTTCACCTATCGTGGGGCGGTGGTGTAGCCCAGTAGTTAAAGCGTTCGCTAGTCACGCCGAAGACAGGTTCGACCCAGTGTGAAGCCCATTGCTGGTGGTATTGCTGAAATATTGCTACAAGCGGCTTAACACTAATCCCCACGCACTTACTCACTCACTAACTCCACTTACCTATTGAGTGCTCTTTCACTCGTAAGCCAACGACGCCATTATAATCACTGTAATCACCTCAGGGTTAATTCCTGTGAGTGATGAAGTGACGTACTTCACCATCAATTTATGGCTATGACTTGGTCCCTTTAATTCGTCAACTAACAACGAATATACGGTTTGTTTCGCCACTGGAATCGGTAGTTCTGATTATGATTAAAACAGTTGTTTCACTGTAAAACGCCTCTCTATTCCACACTCAAACATACGCATACACCGTAAGTACCGCAAACACAGGAAATATCGTACACATTGCAAATATCGCACACACCGTAAATACCGCACACACCGCAAATATCGCACACACCGTAAATACCGCACACACCGTAAATACCGCACACACCACAAATATCGCACACACCGTAAGTACCGCACACAACGCAAATATCGCACACAACGTAGATACCGCACACACCACAAATACCGCACACACCGCAAATATCGCACACAACGTAAATACCGCACACACCGCAAATACCGCACACACCTTACACAAGCTGAATACCGCAGATACCTCACACACCGCACTTACCGTTCACACGCAAGTTTATTGGAATGGTACGGAGTGTTGGAAGTGAAAAAGAGGGGTGTGAATACAGTGAAAAAGAGGGGCGTTTGGTTCCGGAATGCCATGCACTCTTTTGTTATATTCAGAACATCCTCTGGCATTCTGTTCTCGTACATTAAAGATATTATGTGCATCTAAAGATCAGTGGTTGTTGTGTTTTATTATGTGTTGTGAAACATTTCGTGTTTAACAATGGTTATTTACAAAGCGTGCATTTCGCGGCTAACCCAAGCCGCCTGTAGTGCGCAAGAAGGTTAACGGTCCCATTCTCACCGGGTAGCCATTCTCTGATGGGTAAACAGAGACAATTTACAATCGAACTCACTTGTCTAGTATGAGACCACATGTGCTTTGTTGTGCTTACATGTGCTTTTTTGTGGGGCAGGACTGAACTATCAGGAGTCAAGCTGACAGACACGGTCACCCACCTAACTGTCCGCAACTAACGTTTCTTAACGTCCACCGATTTGTGACCTGGGTCACGTTGTACATAGCGATCTTAGGGCTAAGGTGACTCCCATACCCTAACATAGACTTGAAGTGAAGTCTTAGTGCTAAGGTTGTTTTGTACAACGGACCCTGGACTCTGAGTACTCGGTATAACCCAGCCGAACATTTAGCCTGGGATCTCAAGATCTCGAATCCCGACCAGACAATCAAGTGATTGAAGTCATGAGCTTTCATATACACAATTGGGATCCGATGCCTTGCACCATCCTGGGACACGATGCTATGCGAACCTGGCTAGCTATTCTCGAAACGTACGTAGCCTTACGAACTTCTCAAGCCCGGTTTAACACATTGGCTACGATCAAAGTCTTAGATCAAATTCTTAGAGCTAAGAACGTTTCGAGAATACGGGCCCTGACCACCTAATCCCGTTAGTCGCCTCTTACGACAAGAATGGGGTGCTGAAGTTTGATAACTTACCAATCTCTTCACAAGTACCATTCGATGATTCTGTATTGATTATGGGAATCACAACTAGAACACTGTGTCTTAACCGATTAATTTAATTGCCTCTATATTACAAGTAGGTGTTACTGTAGTAAGATTCTGTCCCGATTTGTTTTAAAAGGTGATGTATATATATATATATATATAGAGAGAGAGAGTAGAGAGAGAGAGATGGAAAGAGAGAGAGAGAGAGAGAGAGAGAGAGAGAGAGAGAGAGAGAGAGAGAGAGAGAGAGTATTTACCTCAGCACTTTTAACATATATATATATATATATATGCTAGAGAGAGAGAGAGAGAGAGAGAGAGAGAGAGAGAGAGAGAGAGAGAGAGTGTGTGTGTGTGTGTGTTCCTGCTTACCTGATAAACGATACCCGTGAAGAACCCGGTTAGAATTAAGTCTTCAGCAACCCATACCTGTCAGAAAAGGCGACTGACAAGTTCGAGGTGGCCACAGTCGCCAACTTGGTTGACACATGTCATCGCACCCAAGTTGCGTAGAACGATGCTCATGCTGTTGATCAGTGGATTGTCTGACCCAGACTTGATTATTTACAGACTGCAGTCATATAGCTGGAATTTTGCTGAGTGCGTCATTAAACAACCAACCAACCAATTGGTGTTTGGCGTTAAACAACTGTCAAACCAAACCAAAGCTAAAAGAACTTTCCTGTTTACTTGCTGCAACTTATCAAACGATTTTCAAAGTTGCAAATGTCTACATTACTTTCAAGATATCTGCACATTAACTGATATAGCAAAGACAGAGTGAAAACGAGGCAATGTTTATTTACATGACAGATTATGTTGGACATACGCATATATACACTAAAAAGAATATTGCTTGTTCAATACCCATAAGGTATGGGATCTTCAGATGGTAACATCCCTTACTTTAGACATGAATGGAAGCACTTCTCCAAAGGCCCCTTTTCATCTTAACACCATGACTACTGTCGGTTCTAAACTGCAACATGCGATTACATAAATCGTAGTCTTTGTGCTCAGATCTCTTTGTGCACCCGGCCCTGTCTTCATAAAGCATTGAAAAGATTATCATCATTAAACTCCAACCTCCCGATCACACAAAAATACAAAATACAACTCCTCCCAGTGCCTCCAGGTGTCGCTCGTATCTCAAGGTACGAGTGACAATGGCGGCGCTGTGGAGGAACTTGACACAGCCCCTTGTTCCTGTCCACCGCTGGCATACTAAGCTCCCTGCACTGTACTCTGCTTCTGCGTTCATCCCCCTAGTACCATCTGCACATCTGCTATCCACGAAAAGATACAGATGGCATCCGTGAGGTCACTGTGCTACACAGATCATGTATTCTTGAATCCACACAGGCATCAATGCACCAGGGTCCAGGGGTCGAGATACAGAGGTCATATGAGGTCATAAGGTCAAGGTCAGAATAGGTTTGTCTGAAGCATGATCCTGATGAACTCTTCTTTGTCAATGACGCCGTCTCCATTGACGTCGGCTTCCTCGATCATCTCCTGCAGCTCCTTTTGCGTGAACTTTATGCCCACGTCTCGACACGCCTGACGCAGGTTCTCCTGGGAGATGGAGCCTGAGCCGTCTGTAAGGCAGAGGGGACACATGGAATTAGGGGAGCAACTACAGTCAAACACTCTTGTGTCGAAGTTAAAGGAACCGACGTTACTACTTCGAGTTACCCAAGGTTCAACAAAACCGCAAAATGATGACTCCATCAGGAATGCGCAGGGACCATGGTTTTGCTTCGAGACAGACATACGTTTGACACGTCAAAGTTCGACTCAACGGTGTTAACTGTATTTCATTTTCAGTGTGAGCGTGCATCCAGGGCGTAGCTACCATAATAACAAAAAGCCTGGGCTTACACATGATTGTTGTTGAAAAGTTTGGGAAAGTCCTCAATACTATCTAAACTAAAAGCTTTGCATCCTATCGGGCTTACACCAACAAAATGGCTTGCTACGCGCCTGGCATCCTCAGGGTCTGTTCGAGATCATTTGAGCTCCTGTTTTACTGAAAATTTAATCAACAAATGTCTAGCAATCTAGGGAGAAAATACTCCACAGCTTTCTTGCAGGTTTGTACAAACTACACTTCGTTGTTTCTATATATAGTAGTTTTATGTCAGCGTTTGAAAGATAAACAGTTAAACAAAACATGCCATAAATTTACCAAAGTCGTAATTTTTGTTCATCAAGGTTGTTTCAATAAGTATACATTCGAACACAGCAGTGTCGAAGCTTAAGGAACCTACGTAAAATACTTAGAGACAATATAATACTTCGACACAACTGCAAGTTCAACACAACACTGTACCAGAATACCACCCAAAGGGCTTGATGTATGATTTTACGTGCGTTTCGCGGATCAGCCTACCCTGAGCACATCTGTACACGTCAACGCGTTCTCATAATCGATAAACATACCAAAGATCACATGAAAACGGGATTGCTGGAAAATAAGACATTATTGTCTTTACAAAACGAACCATGAATGCATATGTCCCTTGTCACCTGGGCTCCTTTTCAAGTTAGATAGATTTATTTGTTTGTATCAAAATTATATAAATTCAGAGACTAAACGTTAGTCCAAGGTGAACGTCTAAAACCTTCATCACCTCGGGTTTAAGCTCACAGCGTGAAAAAACTGAATTACGTGTACTTTTCAAACTGTCGTATTGATTCCTTACAAACGAACCATGAATGCATATGTCGAATACTCATCTGTGTCGAACAAGTATTTCTAAAGAAATTTTAAAATACACCATAGAACACCTGATTGTTCGAAAATATGACATTATTGCGATAACAGACCAGGTATGACTGAATATATCGAATTATCACCTGTGTCGAACATGTTGAAGCCCTTCAGTATTTCCTCGTACACATCTCTGTTGTCTCCCCTGCTGGTCTATCACAGTCTCCAGGAACTCGTTGAAGTCAATCTTCCTGGAAACAAGCAAAACACCATGGTCAATACGTATATGTAACGATCACAGAAATACGTTTATTCATTGGTTGTTTAATGCCGCCGCACTCAGCAATATTCCAGCTATATGGCGGCGGTCTGTAAATAATCGAGTCTGGACCACACAATCCGTTGGGGTGGGGGTAGCCTAGTGGTTAAAGCGTTGGCTCGTCACGCCGGAGACCCGGGTTCGAATCCCAACATGGGTACAATGTGTGAAGCCCATTTCTGGTGTCCCCCGCCGTGATGTTGCTGGAATATTGCTAAAAGCGGCGTAAAACCAAAACTTAGTCAGTCAGTCAGTCAGTCACAAGTTGAATGGGGTGGTAGGCTAGCCCATTGGTTAAAGCGTTCGCTCTTCACGCCGAAGACAGGTTTCTGGTGTACCCCGTCATAAATGATAAGTAGTATTCAGGATTCTGTGATATTATTGTGCTTAGTTAGATATCTATCTATTGCTAAATAGACGGGAGAAAACAGAGGTAAAGCCATTCGTGACCAACTCGTGTTATTCCGGGACAAGCCGAATAGCGGTTACGGAAAGGGGCGAGTGGTGACGAATGAGGTAAAGCATCGACAGAGTTACTTCCCTTTGTTGCATATCCTTACCAAAAACATCTGTGTGTTTACATTAGTTGTAGCGTACATGAAGTCTTTTTGACACTTGTTTCTGCTGTATAGAATGAAACATATCTATCTGGGCGATAGGGTGGATACGAAAACATTTGCTATATATAAGCAGGGGCTGTAATTTGTGATCTTCCTGGGATAATAAACATAATAGAATACAGGTGTGAAATTCCAGGTATTCATTTCAATTCTCAAACATTAAAATAGTTACAGGTTGTGTAAATTTAACCTTAAAGCGAAAGATTCCACAAAGAAACCTGCTCGTGCGCTTCACAGATATAAATACCACTGACTTCTTCCCTATTCTATACATAAGCGTCGACCCACCCACCTTCTCGCCTGGTTTCGGGGTGGGGCAAGATAGTCCGGCTTGAGGGGGTCAACCGGGCCCACTGGCGTCTCCACCTTTTCCCCTTTCTTTTCCTTTTTCTTTCCTTTCTTCTTCACGGGCATCGTTTGTAGTATTCGTCTCTTTCCACGAGGTTGATCGTCACTCTGAAAAGCCTTTGTTGTCAGCCTTGGGCCGCCATTTTTGAAACAACTTGTGTCGCCCTAGCAACGGGGCAGTGCGTGTACGGGTCAGCCTGCCCAATGGGATTGTTCACAGATCACTGTGTACTATTTCTGATGTGAAAGCAAGCATCTGTAAGTCCATTTCCTGGAAGAAAAAATGACCCCGACAATAATCCTCGCCAATAACATTATCCACCTCATGGCTTGACAGATTCAAACTTGATATTTTC